TTTCAAATGACACGACGAATTAGGACGACTTACAATCCACAATGAAGGGCTTTCCAGAGGAGATACAGATGTGCACGGGGGGTCTGCAAGAATAAATGAGACAATATCAAGAGTGTTAGCAACTTCAATTCAGGGCTGAAATCAATGATCTCATTATCACCCTAAATTCATGGTTCAATTGAGGTGCTTGTTATATCGGTTTAACAACCAAAAACTCATAGATAATACATTTACGATTAAACGAAACAAGGGACAAGCATCACATCCTCATAGTTGTAAAACTGGCACCAGATAATGTCAGCCATTTTTGTGTGATAAAGGCTTAATTTAAAAGTTTAATCACTTGTTACTCAAACTGTTCAGCCACTTCAGCACTACTTCAAATTGCCCGTAACTTCTTAAGGATTGCATTGTATATCTTAACGGTTCAGCCAACTAAGACTGTTATCACCCTGGTTATGACTTGTTTTGTAACCTCCGCCAAGTAAGTCATGTTTATAGTTGTGTTCGCCTGTTAGCTTGTAAAATCTCTCATACATTGGATGCGATTAAAAAGAAAGTAAGAAACTGATCAGGGTTTGGTGCACATCGTGCCTGTGGTCATGAGTGATTAATTTACAGTTTTGCACGTTCCTTCTTGAACGAGGCCTTGATCTCGCCTAATTGCTTATTACTGTGCAATTTGACGCGCACGAGTTCAGAAAACAATGGGGAAACTTTGTGATGTCAAACTTAAGTGTGGTCATGGGGGGAGAGACAACGAAGAGAAACAACCACGTGTAGAAACGTATTCAATAACACATTTTAAAAAAGGGAAACATGCGCGTAACCCAGGAAAGAGACACTTTACGCTCCGTCACATTGCTGTACCCCTCCCCCACGCGCTAACATGGCGCCCACGAGTCCGCATTTTGTAAACTACTTCCACCGACTGGATAGCACGATATAAGTATAAATAACATGCCTGTGCACGGAACAATAAAAAGCAGGTGCATGTGAACCGTGCGCTCATTATGACCGGGCGCACCACGTGTGTGATAAGAGCTACTGCAAACTTACGCCAGAATCCAGCACACAACAAGCTAGTAGTACCCGAAGGGCTCCATCAACACAGTTCAACGCAAGCATGTGCTAGCCAAACATGCTAGCGCGTGACACCTGCGAACCGGGCCAGCCTTCATAAAGATTGTTATCCGATGAATATTTATAATGCCACAGATCAGTCGTATTTAAAAACGACATATTGTCAAATAGCTTAAAAGACGCACCATGTGAGCAGACTGTGGTTGCCTAACACCCTCCATCCACTTCACAGCATTCTCTTATCTTAGCCAACTTAGCTGCTCAGAATAGCGTGCCCGTGCATGCTAACAGAAATATAAACGTCAGTGCATGTCGCTGAGTGCTTGTGGACACTGGCGCTTCCACTTAAGCACGTATAATGTGGTTGATAAAGCCAATGTCAATAAAGCAACTTCCACGATATCGTCCGTTTGTTAACGTTAGCAGCTAGCGGGATAGCACAGGCGCGCGGCCTGCTGCAACCCCATGTGCTGCTGCTGCTTTGTTCTGAAGGCACTTTTAAGTGCACACCACAGCGCACAAATGGACCGGGAACTTCATATTCTGCCAACATGTGGTCGATAACCGGAGCACACGAGTCTATAACTTGCAGCTACTACCGAAGTGTGTAACGCATCGTTTTTCACGAGTGAGTCTCACTTCCTCGAGGCACCGACTTCAGGAGGTGCAGCAGCAACACATGCTTTTCAAATCTCGCTCATTCTCCAACCATGGAGGAGAGGTTGCCATGCGATGCGCCCCTTACAACATTGTTTTCAAATGCGGAAATGTACGATTAAAACGCTTTTTCCCGTGTGTATACGCAAAAGTGTGGCTCCGGTGCCGCATACAGCGACAAGCAGTTCACTTTATGACATTTACCGTATCTCCAGAAAAGGCCAACAACAGGTTTCTTGCCAATAACATGCGCGTAACAAGACACTAACGTTAGCTTCTAAAAAAATCCACCATCTTCACTCACTTGTACAGACTTACCGTTTACTCACGCTGTTTTCATGGATATCTGCAAAACTGAGAAAAGAAAAAGACTTAGCAAATTGAGAAAGAGCTACGACGAATAATCCAAAAAAGCACAACCATGTGCTACTATTGTGGTTTGCAAGGAGTTTGTGAATCGTAGTAAGATTGCGAAAGTGGCGCGAGTAGAGTCTAGGTTTAACCATGTGGTGAATGAAGGGCGGCTCCCAGCCAGAACAGCTAAACCCCGACTCCTTCATTAGCATAAATCAACTACTTCCTCTCCAAGTGCGGCTTTCAAGTTTCCCCACTGGATTTACACTCTTGATAAACACGCTGAGGGGTCGATATTAGCGAACTTTTCTTCATGAGGAAAAACAACTAACAAAAAGGCTGTTAATTTAGGCGACATCAAAATAAGATTTGCACAAGCGATTGGTTATTTTTGTTGATGTTAACAAAAAAGGTCTTGTGAATGAATGCGAATAAACACAAGAAATAACAAAATATATCATTCAATCACAACTATTTCTTAACAATTTAGCACATGCTTTTAACCATTTCAAACCAATCTTTCTTTCATGGCAATTTTCGAGTGTATTACCCGCAAAATATTTAATTTTTTTTTTGTATTTTGGGGTGCTTTCTAATAGCAGACGACGTTTAATTATTCAATTACATTTTAAAACTATAGGGCCTGCATCATTTACACAGAATCAATCCTCACACATGGAACATGTTGGCTTGATGTTCTTGAATTAAAATGATTAACGTATAATCATAGTATTTTATGGAAATCTAAATATATAAAATACATTGGTGACTTGGTGTTTAATTTGCACTACAACTTGCTGTTGAAACGTTTTTATTTTTTTATTTTTTATTAACAATATGAGGTTATAACTAATTTGTACATGACACAAACATATGGTCATTAACAATATGCCTTGAATTAAGAACTAATTAAAAACCTACTTTAAAATAATGTTTTTTCTTGAACATTAGGCTAACATTCCCACAAACAAATAAAAACAAACAAACATGTGTCTTGCTATCTGTTTGTGGGTACAGAACAGATACATGAAGCCAGTTGAAATTTAGAAATGATAGGTCATAGTAAGTTGTTGTAAAACCATTGCGATAGGAAGTAGTTTGATTACTGAATAGGGGCTAGACATTTTTCATATTACAGCCTATATCTGAGCTGAATGTCAAACATATGTGTATAAAACGTTAATAGTCCACATACATTTCTTCATCGTAATAGCATAATGTGAATTTGGATCAGCATTATTGTAAATTGTATAAACATTTCACAACAGTATTTCTGAAATAAAATTAAAAGCCAATGCATATTTATTTTGGCCTGCTTTTGTGTTGCACTGAAAATACAAATTGATCTCTAACTCAAGGCCATATTTTGTATTTTACAATATGCAGCCGTGTTAGCATCAGTAACAAATTTAATTTCAGTCAAAGATACACATGTTGAATACTCACTGATGTCAGCAAAGACTTCATACAAATGAACTGCCATCAACATGGTGTAAAGTGTCTGTTGCCAAAGCTCTTCCCTCTGTAAGGGCTTGTTTATAACCAAGGGTCAGTCTCACCTTTCAACTCTAGATTCATGTGAAGTCACCAAATGAAGGCTCTGAATTTGAAGTTGCCTTCCTGCTCACTGATGTAAAATACAAGAATATTAAAACATATTGCAATTTAAATGTATGAACTATTAGTTTTTAGTTTTGTTTAAATGTGTCGATAGAAAGGGACTGTAAAATTGAAATAAACAGTAAAGAAATATGGCTATAATCTACAACACATTACTCCAAAAAAGATGAAATTCCTATATCAACTGTGAAGCATTTATGTGTCATGTATTTACACGTTTGTCTGTTTTAGTTTGAGGTTATGTTAAGCAGTGATATGAGGTGGTGAAGATGACATAACAGTTCATGTTTTCTGATGCTATTAAAGTTTTGTTTACCTCTGCATTTTTATAGGGAACTGCAGTTAAAATGCATATATTGTCAATCAGTTAAACAAAACAGACACAATTTTGTTCATCTATAATTTAAATTAATCAATTATGAAGAGTATACCTCAATCTTAAATGGTCAAAAAATGACTTCTAACTTAAACACTCAAGGTCTGTTTAGTAAACTGAAAGGGATTTCTTCAAATGAAATATTCCAATATTATGTTTCAATATTATTGAGCTTCAGAATATACACAAAGAAACATAGAACAATAAGGAAACATCGAATAACAAAACAAAAGCTCTGACTGTGACTCTCTTGTGCTTAAAGAGATTTCATTTTTTTTACAAACAGATCCCTACCGAATGTGTATAACAATTATTATATAATTATGCAGATAACTAAAGTGAATGTAAAATTACTGGTTTGCTATTATAATGGTAAGCTATGCTAAACAATTTAAATTATACATTTTATGGTATACTTAAGTTATTTCAGATATCTTTTTCAAAGTTTTGGTTCGACCAGACTATAAAAAATAAGATAGATATTTAAACAAAGGTTTGTCGTAATTATTAAAACCTATTGGAATAATTTATAACTGCAGGCGCATGTTACCTTTTTTTAATGAAAGATTTTTTTTTCCCATTTTGACTTTTGTCGCCCTGATGTTTGAATCTACCCGGTTGCCGTAGGTCACGCTCTGTTCAGTCCGCTCAGTCATGGCTGCTCTTCACGGAAGCCACATCAACCTGCCACAATAATGTAACACCACAAGTCTGACACGATTCTTTCCAGTCATTTGTTATGGAATCTAATAGGGGCACTGAATATTCCCACACTAAATTATAATCTGTACACAGCAGCATGATATCCTATCTGATTTTAGCTCTTCGATGCTTACATCGTTGAGCTATTATGTGGGCTTCGTTTTGTTTTGAAGGTTGTAGTACATGATTTCCGGTCGTAATCGTAGCACGTTTGCTTCCTCTCTTAACTTCATGAGGTTTTTCACGTTCAGACTGTTAATAACAGTTCCCTCTTGATGCTGGAGAGTTAAAGGTGAGTTTAACGTTCTGTTATATGATATGCATTCATGTGGGTGATGTGATTTTAATAATTTATTACGCCTATTGACACCACATTCCCATTCTACAATGTGGCTGCTCTACTTTGACTATAACATGCAGAGCTCAACTCTGAGTTATACAAAATAAGGTATCTTCTGGTTATAAAGATGTCGCCTGTGGCGTCACATGTCCTTACCTGTTTAACCTGGATGTGTGTATTCAAAGTTTTGAAATGTAATTAGGAGTAAATCTTTTGTTTCTGTGTCAGTGTGTCTAACAGTTGTTTATAAGCAGTGTTGTGCATATAAATGTATAGTAGCATTAGTGTCTTTTATTCATGGTTCTCATCGAGAAGTATTCACTCACCTATACTGTACTGGACTTTTTATTATTAAAAGATATTTGTGACATTTGTCATGTTTGTTAGAGGTATATAACAGTTTTTACCTTAAGTTTGCAACATGTACAAAACAGTTTTATATACTTCATTTTTTTAAATATTTTATTTTATTGTTTAAATCAAAATTGAGTAGCTTAAAACTTTATTCTTTCCACATCTACCTTTCACCCTCTTGAAAAAGCACAGTTTTCATGGCCTTTGACATCCTACACCAAATATCTAATGAAGTAGATACATATATAATGCTATCTTTGTTTATATTGTAATTGCTTTTATTGTTTCTGTTTTTGCCATGTAAAGTCCCTTTGAGTACCTTTTTTAAAGCGCTATACAAATATAATGTATTATTCAATTACATATTAATAATAGTGTTCGGGCGACTTGGCACCTTTGTTTTGCCGTTTGCTGGCTTTCTTTTGAAATCATGCCTTTGTCATTTTAGTCTGGCAGATCGATGGCTGCCTGTGTGCTGTGTCGTCGGGTGCCCAGGCTACGCTACCTCCCAGGCTGGAGAAAGGACTTTACCCAGGCTCAGCTTGTGCCTGTCAAACAGGAGGATGAGATGGATGATCATGAGGGGAAGAAAGAAGTATTGCAACACCAGGGAGCCTCTCCCCAAGGAGGATACAGGCTGTATTACAACCCCTCCTCATATCATCCCTCTGTGTGGAACTCTGCAACCTCCCGGAGCGAAACAGATAATGATGAGGATGAACAGTGTCTCTACACTCTCGCACCTTCCTTCTGGCAACAGAGCAATCACTACAGTGTGAGTTGTTCGCGCCATCTCTCCAGCTCAAAAAACACACTTCTTGACTTAGCTTTCAACAAAGGCCCTGAACCTGAGAGGCCATCGCTTTCACCATACTACAGAAAACTCGCACAGCCAGATGTTAAAGTAGATCCACGTGCCTTCCTCAAATGTCGGCCAGGGTATGCCTCCACGACCCTTGACCTCACGCAGCGGCCTCACCCGATCAAATGGGAAGAGGCCGTGCCACTGCTCCAAAAAGTGGCCGTTTTAAAAGGCAGCATGAAACCATCTGATGTGTCTCATTTTCTTGCGGAGCTCAGCCGCTTGCACCCGGACAAGATGCCGTTAGTGAGGAGTGACCAGCGCTTTATCATGCTCCTCCGATATTCTGTGGAACACCTTCGCCTCTTCACTCAACTTCAGCTGCTGGAGGTGCTGCGGTCCTTTGTGTGGCTGGACATGCCCTCCGCCCACACTGTCCTCGGGCTGTATGAGGCCGAGCTGAGCCGCCGGGCCGACCAGATGAGTTTACACCAGTTGCTGTTAGCCGCTGACTTGTGGCGTTGTATTGGGCGGCAGGTCCCCCAGTTCTTACGGCACCTCTATGATTCCGTCCGCCTGCATCTGGGACAGATGGGGGTCCCTGAGCTGGTGCAGCTGTTGTATATAACGGGAGAGAGTAGGCAGTGCTCAAAAGACTTGATCCATCCTGTGGAGCAGCTTCTCATGCGTCACGTACAGCAACTTTACCCTGAGGAAGTTGGTGCCCTATGCTTGGGGCTATTCAAATCCCAGACTTCCATATCTGAGGGGTCAGTGAATCGTATTATCGATAAGGCACACTCTTTTGTGGAGGAGATGAGCGACTTTGCCATGGTGAATGTGCTGAAATTCCTGCGTTTCAGCTACCTGTATCACAGGGCGTGGCTGCAGGGCATGGCACAGGAAGTTCCTCGACGGGCCCACAGGATGGGTGTCAAGGGCCTAATGCATGTGGCATTGGCCTGTTCAGCGCTGCATTACCGTGATGATGACATCCTATTGGCAATTGCTGACAGAGTTCCCTCGCTGGTGCCACACTGCAGGAGCAAAGACTCATGCAAACTGCTGTGGGCCTTTGGCACATTAGGGTTTCTCCCAGCCCAGAGCCCAAGCTTCTATCCGAGCCTTACAGAGGCCCTGAGAAGGAAGAAAGCTGAATTCCAACGATACCCAGAGCATCTGCTTACTGGTCTTCTAGGCCTGGCCTTTGTCTCGCAGTTTCCAGAGGACCTAATAGCATTAGCTTTGAGTCCTGACTTTGTCAACTTAGCACTGAAATCCTCACAGCTGGAGCTGAAAAAAGACTTGTTCACTTTAGACGAAGCCGTGGCTCTGGAGTTGCCTCAGTGGAGGGGCCCGCGGCTAAGCTGTGAACTGAGAGAGGAGGTGGCAGACATGCTGTGGAAGTTTGCTCAATCGGACTTGTGCCAGAAACCAGAGGTTCGGGAGGCAGAGTCTGCTCTGCAGGATCTGCTGGGAGGAGAGAAGTTTGTATCTAAGAGAATGATTCTCCCCCACACTCGCTCCATCGACCTGGAAGTACACCTTGACTCCGCTGGACAGCCAATACCTGTGAACCCAGCATCCCACACAGCCACACTATCTCAAGATAACCGTTCACCCGAACATCCTTCTCATCAGGGTTGGGAAAGAGTGAATGTAGGAGTAACTATAACTGAGGATCTTTTAGCACAGCTAACCAATACAAAAAAAGACACGGAACCTTTAACCCCTTCTGCTACGGTTGAGCCTACATCTCTCCACAGAGTAGAGCCGGATGAAGGTGGGAGACTGTTTGACACGGCGCTAGACCTGACCAGTGACTTAATAGAAACTCTTACCAAACCCCGGAGCCAAGGCTCAGCCCCTCAGGACTCCAAAGGCACAGTCAAACTCGCAATCCAAGTTTCCAGCAGGAACCACTATTGCTACCATTCACAGCAGTTGTTGGGCCTTCATGCCATGAAGAGGAGGCAGTTGAAGTTGGCAGGCTACAGGGTTGTAGAGCTTAGCCATCAGGAGTGGTTCCCCTTGCTGAGGAAAAGCAAGGCAGAGAAGCTGGCACATCTGCACTGCAAACTCTACAACAGTCTGTAATGATTCTCTGCCCCCCCCCCCCCTTTCTGAGCTATCTTTAGTTTGTTAGCGCAAAGCAGAGAAAACTGTGTATTAAGGAGAGGAACAGCTTGTCTATCCCACCGTTTTTCATTGTTGAGTTTAAGAAACATTTCTTCAGGAGTTTTGTACAAAAAAAAATCGTATTCAACTCCTCACTGTCCTCATATCATTTCATACAATCCTGCAAGATTTTGCTAATACCTTCCAGGATCTGTGGAAGAGTAAAGACAAAACAATGTTTTGCATCATACTTAATCAAACTCACCATCATCATGACGGTAACCTCAGGGGTCACGGCATCTGTTTTAAAGTGTTTTTAAATTGCTGCCCGCTTTGCACGTCAAAGATCCAGCTTGATCTTTTCAACTGATGTGAACTTACCAGACTTCTATGTTGTTTTTTTGTATTGTGACTGCTCATGAACCATGGAATTTGTTATGCAATTTGATATCGACCGGATTAAAATCCATTGCAATTTAATACCAAAGGAGAGCCAAAATATTTCCCAACAGAGTGAATGATCTGTACGTAATGCCTTGTTCATCAGACAGACTCCTGCTGGTTGGAAATGGGGAGCTAAGTTCCCGCTGAGGTGAATAAGGTTTGTTCCACAAAGTAATTGTTGTGTTAATTTATTTGTCTTCGAACAATGTTTCTGAAACAAGGTTACTGCTGAATTGAACCCCCCCCCCCCAAAAAAAATAAAAATAAAAACCTATCAGCTGCTTTTCAGTAGTAATAGTAGTAGCTTCCTAACCTATGAAATAGCAAATACTTTACTGGTGTGTGGCGTTCTATTTAAGTGTGTTTGTTTATTGGACAAGGTGGACAAAATATCTATCTTTCAGTATAATATTTATATAATGCAATACTAGTATCGTCTTGTGCAAACACCTCACTGAAAGGCTCAAAATGTATTGCATGTTAAAGGCTTCCCACAAACACAATGTATAACAGCATTAAGTTTCCACATTTCACTTTTTTTGTGACAACCTTCGACACAAACATGATTTATATGGCAGATCATGCAAAACTTGAAACACCACCGTAGAAACTGTCAGAGCATTTAAGTGACAGACCACTGGTTGCAGCCACTGACTGGGAAATGAGTTCTTTCACACTGGTATGAAATTGATGTTCCCGCGTTTGACTCCTCCAAGCCGTTATACAATGATCTGACTCTGGATGTCATCGGTCCATCTCTTATTCCTCCACTGCAGCGGGATTAGGGGGTGTTCACAGATGTTACCGTTTGTAGTTTTTTATCTGTAGAGGAGAATGTCCTTTTTCTTTGACACATTAGGATATTGTTCTATCACCTTGTATGAACATGAGGTGGTGTAAGAATATTAGAACAACAAAACAGGGTTGCTAAACAGATCCATTAATATCCATTTTAAGAGCTGGTAGATCAAAACTCATAAATCAGGTAGAAGCAAATCTACATCTTTGCTTTACAACGTGCTTTCATGGGCGACTGGCTCAGAAGAGCAGGGTCGTCCTTCAATCAGAGGATCGGCGGTTTGATCCCCGGCTCCTTTAGTCCGTGTCCATGTGTGCTTGGGCAATACACTTAACCTCAAATTCCTCCCGTAGGCTGGCCTGCGGTATGTGAATGGGTATGAATGTTATTAGTTAGCTGACGGTTAGGTGGCACCATGCATGGGAGCCCCTGTGAGCCATCATTGTATGAATGTGAATGGGTGAATAATGACATAGTGTTAAAGCGCTTTGAGTGGCCGGAAGACTAGGAAAGCGCTATACAATTAGAAGTCCATTTAAAAAGCATACTACTTGGCAATATAAATAAGTTTTGTAGAAACAAGACATGCAAAATTATCACTTTGGTCTTTGTCAGAAAAGCAAGACAAAAAATGTATATTTTTAGTTAATGGACTATGTTTTATTACGAATGTATAACAATGAACACAATTTGAAAAAACATGAGAAAACATTGTTTATCTCTTGCTGATTGTCATATCTGTCATATCCTGTGTTGGGAACCTCCCGGAGCAGGATATCCTTGTTACTCCCTGAAGAAAAAGCTGCGATGAGACCTTGGTGTAGTGATACACTGGAGAGACTACAGGTGTGTTGTGTTCCCCTTAAGATGTTTCTCCTTTCCATCCCCTCCCCCCTTTTCCTTTGTGACCTAGAAACCGATGTTAGTGCTTCCATCTTGCCAGCTGTCCCAGTGTAGAAGACAAAAACAGCTTCAAGGTCTCTGACTAGGAAACATTGTCTGGGAAAAAAAAGACAAGAACATCCTGTGAGGAGATTTAATTTTTAATGGCATGCCTAATGCCCAGACATAACTAACATTCCTAAAATGTGGATATACAAACTAATAACCTAAATGTTCTTTCTCATCGTGAAGGCTATTTTGTGGCCCATATCAGCCACTTGCACTTCATATCTCCTTGTTGATCCAGTACAATGGAAAGTAGAAACCCAGGATCCGGAGCACTTGGTTTTATAATTGCCAATTGGACTGAAGATTTAAGTTACCTCTTCAGTAATGGACACAGACTTTTGATAATATCAGCAAATCCTAATTCTCCCCTGTGTCCTTCCCACCCTTACTTGAAGTTACTTGCTGATGGGAGACAAGTGGTATAAAGGGAGGAGAGGAAGTGAGCAGTGGGAAAGACAAATTCAATCAACACTACATCTGCCAGCATGCGTGGGAGCACTTGATGACCCCCTCAGGAGGAGCTGGAGGAGGCTGCTGGGTAAAGGGACTTTGTGGTTGCTCCGGTGCTCCCTGATCAGGATGAGTGAGAGAACTAATGGAGAGAGAGATGTTACAATCGTCCAGCAGAGGGCACTCTCAACTAAGAAAACAGCACATTATGTCTGACTGATAATGATGAAATAGTCCCATGACCCCTTTATACTTATGTATATATATTTTCATGCAACTCACATCAATATAAATGCAAGATGACCATAACTGTGTTCAGATAACAGTCTTAACAAGCTTAGAATAACCTAAAGGAACATTCAAATTACATTTTGTCAATAATGTTTTTAACAGTGCAATTGATTTGCAGACCTATAGCGAGACAGAAACACGTTCAAGCACATGTAAGTACACTTTAACAAGTTTGAGAAAAGTCAATAAATACCTTTCCTATTATTTGCAGATCTGAAAAACAGTAAAAGAGATTAATCATTTGATGCCTTTCAAGTCACTGCCGTTCCTGCAGCTACAATTTTCACACCTCTGAGTGTTCAGGGAGCGTGCTTTTGAAGTTGAGATGATTCACTTTCTCATTTAACACCATTCTCTTTGGGTTGAAATGCGCCTCATTGGATAGTCAAATAAATCCCTTACCTATGGGAGAAAACGTTAGCTCTCTCACTGATGTTGTGTCAGCTCCATTATGTTTTCAGGTTGACGCTAACAGGGGCAAACATGTTTAGGGAATAGGGACAGCACTAGTTTTATCAGAGTGTGGAGTAATGGGAATGATAATCGGCTTAGATCGGATCGTTATTCTGTTGTTATATTGTATTCTGAGGAAATCTACCAAGCAAGGTGCTAAACGTTCTCTTATTTGTTCATGACCGACTGATGACAAGACATTTAATGAGTTATTAACTTGCTATGAACAAAAGTAACCAGAGAATAATCATCGGGTTTAGGCACTATTTTCAAACGCGACCAGTATTCCCCCCGTTAATGGAGGAAGCTCTGGTGGAGTGAATGCTCTCTCAGTAATCCCTGTCTTATTTGCATTTCAATTCTTTTGCTTTTCTCAGCCTGGAAACTAATCCGGCACAGTCTGCATAGCCTGAATTTGCATCAACATTTCTTAAGGTATCTCAACATAGAGACACTACTGTCTGTCGACTATAAATCCTTAACTTAGCTTATTGTATGAGACAGACAAATCCTAATGTCACATATTTTCTAAGCACTTCTGCAACACCCCTACTACTACTTGTCACAAAAAACCCCCACTTCACAGACTTAATCGAGTTCCAGAGCAAATTATTTTCCCTGGAGAGTGACAACAAATTAACCCCGTCGCAATTCTGCATGATGATGGCACTAACTACTCCTGAATGTCTCTGTAGCACCTTCCTTTCTGACCCCTTCTGTGGCATTCAATAATGTGTCTGGATCCTTAAGATTCCAAACACACACACTCTGCTAAACCAACCGCTGCAGCGACGCGACTGATAGGGACTGTTTGCATTCAGCACTTGTCTTTGCTGCTACTGATAGACCTTTATTAGCTTAATCAAGTTCAAGATGTGGTGCTTGGTTCCTCGTTTATTATCACAGGTGTGATATAGGTGTATTGATGATTTGGCTGGATTTTAATTATTGGTGTTGTATTTTTGGCATCTTAAAAAAAAATGAAAGTCAAAGTCATGCACAATTATTTAAGCGATTAGTCGCCTGTAGGAATGTGAGAGATGACCATCTAACCAGGGACAGTGACATTTCTTGAAAGAATTTGACTTAGCAGTGGGATGCTAAAGATTTCCATGTGCAAATGCGTCTGTCATGATGGATTTAGTTAACTCATGCTGTCCATCTGGCCCATGGAAGGTTGCACACCTGCCTGCTGCTGTAAGCGAGAAGAGAGTAACAGTTGCAGACTAAAACCAAAACAATCAGCTGGAAGAGACTGAAACACTCCATGTAGCTGAGGGGGACTGTGGAGGGAGGTGATAGTTATTTGTTGGTTTGCCACAAAGTTTCATTACATGTGAAAGATGTTTTGTATTTTTCATCCAAAACTGGAAGCATTTATTAATATAATATACAGATTACTGCACCTTTAAAAAGCATAATCTGTCAGAATCAAACAATTAAGTCACATAAGTGGGGACAAATGTCTGTGTTTAACACTTAAATTCGTGCTAATTACATGATAAAATGCAACAAAAAATAAATAAAAAAGGACATAGAGGCTATAAGCAAAACACTCCATTAAGGTGGGGCTTTGAACACTTACCTGTAAAACAAAAGCCACTCCCAAAGGATACACAGGCGAGAGCTTCAGATGAATAGATGGAGGAATTCAATCTTTACATGGGTTCACATATTCTCTTTCTTTTATATGCACTTAAAACTGCTGAGTCACTGCATTACAACTTCAGTCTGACACATATCAGGATTCGGGATGCTTACTCTGCAGGATGGGTGACGACGAGAAGAAGCTGCAACGGACAGACTAGGAGATGCAATTCCTTGGCAAGGATCAATGACATGAGGACCTACTTACTGTTTGACAATGTAATAATACTGTTGTATGCCCTGACAAGGACCTGTTGCAGAGCTTGATCAAATAATGTGAAGGTAAAACTAAATTATTAAAGACGTCTGAACATAGATAAATATCAACAAGATTCAATTTACAATTGCAGTGAATTTTGTACACTTTGCTGCCAGCTAGCTGCCACGTGAACCATCATACTGTGTGTTGTAACTCTTGAGCTTCGTTGATAATTGAAAGGTAATTTATTCCAAAGATGATAGCACTACAATATCATTGTTAATTTATTAACCGAATCAGTTATTTCAAAATGTTTCATGCAATTTTGACATGTCAAAGATTTATAAATGTGCCTTGTGCCAGCACACCATTATTACTGACATTCAGATTGTTGAACAATCTTCAAATTTAAAACATCAAGTAAATTTGATTTATATCGCCTTATATCACAAATTTTCCTCAAGGGAACAACCTCTGTCCTTGTCTGTGGCCATTTCTTGGTTTATTCCCAATAAACCATGTCCTGTGCTGAAATACTAAAGGCACTTTGTCTTCAAATGCCCACAGCAGAAAGTGGAATACTGAAAGACTCTTCTCATCATCTTCATGTTTATCCTCCCCTTTTTCCCCGTCTTTCACACAAGAAGCTGGTTAATAACAATATCTTGCTATATTTTATGTTGGTAGTTGAACTGAGACTTCAGAACATGGGGTTTTTCTGTTGACAAATGTATAGTGTATTCATGTTGTATTTGCAGTGCTATTATAAATAGAAGCAGAAATGCCACAAAGAGGTGATGCAGGAATTGCAACATCAGGAACTGGAACAAACATCCAGACATGAAATCCTACATGCCTCTGATGTAAAACCAGTTTCTCTACTCTCTGTAGTCGGCTTCAGATTGTTGATCTCAAAGTTGTATCCACTGTTAGATAGAATAGCAAAATAGTGCATTAGCATAATCAGAGTCTCATGAAATGAAGAAGTGCATTCTCCTTATAATGGTGTGCACAGAGTGATGCACGGCCTACCCCTGAGCCATGAATTGAATGTGTCCACATCCCTTGCTTTTATGCACACGGAAACCATCTCCTGCGTAATGGGAGTACATATTTGAGTCTGTAATTAGACCTTAGTAACCCTGGCAGACACATTTAAAGTGATGGGTTAACTATTGCGTGACGATTAATTACATTATCTCGAACACTCAGCGATCAGGTAAACACAGCGACAGAGATGGACGCACAAGCAGCACACTGACACACACGCAGACACGCGCACACACACACACACACACACACACACACACACACACACACACACATTTGTAAAGGAATTCTGTCCTTACTACATCATATTATCAAGAGGCATGCACAGGAAGAGAGTTGGTGAAAGAGCTGGAGAAATTTAAAATCTTTCCAATGTTCCATTTGTAAATAATTGATGGATTTTACAGTACATTCACATTGCCTTGACATTGCATCAACATTGTGCTCTGCTGCACATTATTGTACAAAATTTCCCTTTTACGAGAAGATGGTTATTGTGACGGTGTATTGTAATGGTATTCATTTACAGGGTAGACTTAGTTCAATTAAATACGAGTAGTGCCTTTCTTTCCACCACATGACAAATAATGAATAATGGCTGTTTTGACAGAAGTGGTGTGCAATCATAATTGTTTTTCTGTGCTACAGTAGGTGCCAAAGTGCTGCTATCGGACTGAGAGGAACATTTTAAATGGGTGCTCAGCTACCAAAAAGCCAAAGCCCACGGTAAATAAGAGTGTCTACCAAAAGGGATGGGATGGATGTCAGAGCACACAACAAAAACATAGTCAGGAAGCTTCGCATACAAAAGAGAGATTGAAAAATAGGAGTGTCAAAAAAGAAGGTTGAGATCCCAGGAAAGCTGCCTTAAATGAAGGAATACAGTTCGATATGAAAGTAGGCTAAAGGGACAGAAAGCATATAATTAGTAAAGGATGAAATCTAATAATCATTTTAAAGCAAGTGTGTATAACATAAGAATTATGAAGTGATTTAACAAATGTAAAACTGATAATACTAATGTATGTGTATCTGAGTAAAGTGAAGTCTGTGTGTGTGTGGAAGGAGCTGATGTAAGCAGGGTGGGGGCCTTAAAGGCTGAGATCATAACAGATGTTGGGGTGTTGTCCGAGCACATACACAGGTGTAACCTGACGCACGCTCGAACATTGCAGCACACACACACATAATCAATGATGTCATGTTAATCACATGCCGAGTGAGGGAGTGTTGGGGAGGAGGGGGGAGAGAGAGCTCAGAGTGTTATAAAAAGAGAGACTTGCAAACAGCAAGACGGGATTCAACGCGGGATAGTCCTGGACTATTTTAAATTACCTGGAAAATTCCAGGAAAGCAGCCACAGTTCCAAAGCGGTTTTGTATTACACACACATATTGTTTTACATTCCCAGAAATAACAAACTAAAATCAATGACATTCTGTACGAAGGCAGGGCATTTCTTGTGTCTTTCTCCCTTACTGTACTGCTTATGCACCGCTCTAAGTGAGCACAGGTTGCTACAGCTGTCAAAACCACATATTTAATGGATTTGACTGTATGGCACACCAAAGTGGTTGACCTCATTTCTGAGGATTGATGCATTATGGGACCTTCTGATCAGAAAGAGCTTTTAATAATTTATCTCTTCGTGGCTTATTGCTTATCAACGTATCCTGCTGCTGATTAGACTCCATTCCTGCTTTAATCCGGACAATTTAATTATACAGGAGATGTCAGACTCCCAAGGACGCTCTTATTTCGAGTGTAGTAAATCCAAGTGTGAATATTTGATGTTGTCAACCTCCTGTGCCATAGAAATGTCTCCTGAGAGGGAGAGGAGGACATGTAATTTACATATACATGCATGACAAAATCCCATGTTCAAAATGTGATAATCTGATGTGAACCACACTAGACAGTCTAATGAAAAATGTAAACATGTACAGCTAATGCACAGGACATTTATGTTTTATTACACTGTCTGTCTGTAAATAAACAAAACCTGCAATCATCTCAGCAGGTGTTGTTGCTGTACGAGCATTTGGTTGATTAATGTAGTTAATATGCTTCTGTCCTGATAATAAAATTGTATGAGACGTTACAAGTGTAAGAAAGTATGCAAGTTGCTATAGCAACCAACCTTTTCCCCGCTTGACTGTTTTCCTGTGAGTGGATGTTGCTTTGATCTGGTAGCCAGTGGCTATAGGTGACGTGTTTAACTGCCTTAACACGTCAGTGGAAGAATCCTCCCGGTGGGTAAAAGAACCCATCAAGATCACAATCAACACTTTGATTAAAGGGGTGGAAACGTGGCGTAATCCGTTCGTACAAGTTTATCATCGTCTAGGAATCCATCGCTGTCTTTGAAAGGTCTGGAGTATTTCATTGCATGACATATAAGACACAAATCTAATTCTATTTTTTAAAATGTGTTTTGTTTTTCTTTCTTTGAAGGATTGCTTGAATTCAGAATTTTCGAATTAAAATAAACTATAAATATGCATGTAAACCACCAAACAAACTCAGGTATTTTCAAATATGCAGGATGTGTGATGAATTATTAACAGACATTGTGAAATCTAAAATAGTGGCTTTGAATAATTCATCTTACATTCTTATGAGTTTCATATTGTAAACCAGTGTGGAGATTGTTTTTTATCACTCATTGTTAAAGAATTATAGGTTTCAGCATCACTCTTAATGCTTAATGCTTATCCTTACCTTTAGCTTGCTAAGCAGAGGAGTCACATTTAGTATCAACCCAAAATAGCTCTGAGGAGGTTCCTCACAGTCGCAGAGCTCAGCTGCAGCAGGTGGCTGTCGTGTTACAAAATAAATGCAAATATATTTTTTCAAGCTTTCCAGAGGGGCCATTTAGGCCACCACGATGTTTCAACTATAGGCTATATGTAAATGGATTATTGTTTTGTAGGGTGATGGAATGTGTCGGGCCTGCAATCACCTGAGTTTGCTGTAGCTGATGCTGCAGACTGCAGCAGATGTGTTCAAGGTTCATCAGGGATTGTCAGTACTCTCTTCGGATGTGTTCTGAACCATTTTTTGTGCTAACCTCAGCTATATGACATTAGTGTTGTGTTCAGTAAAAGCACAGCACTTTTTTTGTTTTGTTAGTGAACTTAGATTTATGCCAGTACTTCATTCTTTATCCCTTCTTCTTTTTAAATATATTATGAAAATATTGGTTGCAAAGCATTTGTGGTGGCACGTTCTAGCATGACAACGACACAATCTTTTTTTGATCACAGGTAACAATATCATTCAGCATTTATATTGTTTAAATAATGCATGACAGAACAAGACTAAGTCATGCTTGCAGCTATGTGAGGCTGCTCTTGGGCACAGCAGTGTTGAAGCTAAATAAGGCCAACATGGCAACACTATGGCAATGCCAACATGCTGATGTTCAGCAGGTATAATGTTTAGCATTTTCACAATCTTAGTGTTATATTTAAGCACACGCACGTTTGCTAGTTTACAAAGCTTAATGCATCACACATTTTACTTAAAACCACAATTGTGAACCTCATGATGCCCCAAGAGGAAAAAGTCTGCAGATAATCAAAATCATTCATATTCACAGTCAAGAGACCATGAATGTCTGTATAAAATGTTGTGCCAATCCGTCAAGTAGATGCTGATATGTTTTACTGGACAAGTGAAAGGTTTGAAGTTCCAGTCCCGTTGCAGGATCAGTCAGGGAATCACCAATGTAATTGATTTGTCTGTATAAAATGTATGTAACAACACATGCAGTCGTTGCTGAGATATTTCAGTCTTGACCTAAGTGCTGGACTGAAGGACCATCAGAAAGACATTGCTGCCACAAGCATAGCAGAAAATGGGGGTGTGTTAACAGTCTTAAATTGAATAGCTGTCTTAAAATGTATTGGCTCAGACGCACAAAAGATTTGAACTCAAAGGAACGACATTAAGACAGTCAGAGTCAAGTTCTCGTTTACTGAGTTCCAAAAGCGGAGAAGGGTCAAAAGCAAATCTATCAATGATTCAATTCGATTTGAAAGTCCACCGTCAAATGTATCGGGTATCTGTAGACATTCAAGTGTATTACCTGTTAAAATATTTGTAAAAGATTATCTGCTAGATATTTCCAGTTGACTATTATCAAATGTTCAACAAATAATTGCTTAATGTCAGTACGTTCATTGACTTTCAAGTACTCCTGCATAATTGTCATTCACAGGGCTGTTGGTATATTACTAATATAAGGTTTAGCGAGATACTGTATACGGTTTTAAGAGACTGTGGCGTTTAAAATAACTTTTTACTCTTAAAAGAATATATATATATATATATATATATATATATATATATATATATATATTTTACCATGACATCTTTCAAATAATTCAAAGGCATATGTTATTGTTTGTTGAAAAGCAAAAACAATCCTTGTCAAAACTGTTGAAGTCTTTAAGCGGTTGGCTGGACACATTTGACATGTCTTTTGGGAAATCTGGGAAATCTTGTCAGTTAACCAACAATAGCCTGTCAATTATCCAGTCAACAGTGAAGAGCTGAAGTAGTGTCTTACATAAATTGCTATGAGCTTCCTCAGTATTACCAGAGCTGACACATGCTAGCAGGTCTTCTCAGTCTTTTGGCTTGTGAGGAATTGTGTAGTTGCACAATACTTAACACGAGGAAGAACTTGAAAGAACTGTTTTGATGCACTTGCCACCAGCTCGCAGTACGCGGCCTTCAGCAAATAATGCTTTCCAGTGTAGTTAATGAGGAGATATATGGATGGTCAAATGCTGAGGCATAGAGTTACCACTCTTTGAAGTGCTGCTTTCTAAATTTTAATGATATTCATGACCTATTTGCTACTTCACTTTATGTAAATTCATGATGGCCTCGTTGCCCTAATGCATTCATGGAGAAGATGCTTTTGGCACAACAATAATATAATGAATAAGGAAGTGTATGCATAAACTTTGTAACGAGAACCAAGAATGTGGTTTTAACACTGCGATCGCAGTTCTTTTGGACATCTGAACAATTGTAAAAATGAAAGTCAAAGTCAGGATCTCATTATATTATAACAACAAATAAAGCTGAGTGAAGACATTTGTTTGACAGCTTGTATGTGGCAGTGCTCCCTGGGGTTCAAAAGATGGTTACTCAACACCCCCACCTTGCCATCTGTCTGGATTCATTGTAGCTTGTTGTAAATCCCACAAGGATACTCACTGCAAAGAGAGACAGAAACACGGAAAAGTGCTTTCAGGAACCACTGCGCACCCTCAGCTTGTCACGAGAACTGAGTATAAAATAAGAGTCTTGCTATGCCTTGAACTATATACTGCTTAAAAAGTTATCCTCAAGTTTAAATATAATCGTGTCTGAGTTGCCACCAACTAAGTAGAGAGAAAAGTTGTTCTACTGGTGTTTGTAGACAATGCTGTGTACAATACAAATATTTCTCTCTGGGTATCTGAGATGCACTGAACCTGGTGGTTATACAAAAGTAGGATGATCAATGAAACTGCAGTCACACTTAGGTTTATAGACAAGTAAGACAAATACAAAAACAGAAGAGTAACTAAAAGGTATTACAATGTTTTCTATGAGTGAGCTTTAGGAGAACGCTGATTTAAGTGGACAGTCACCTGTGCCTGACATGTCGGGGTTTATGTTGTAGTTTGATAAGCCATGTCCTCTGCGCTTAATTACAGAACAAAATGCAGAAAGCATGTGTGGTGACGAGGGTCCCTGTAGGTTCCCCTGTCACCCTAAATGTCTGTTCTGCTGCAGTGTCCTTGAGCAAAGGTACCAAATCCTTATCAGCTGAGTAGGTGTCGCATCATTTGTCTGACACTGTGCCACAGTGCAAATAAAGCATTTTCCAAATGTAGTATGGCTTTCACTCATGTTGCCTAAGAGCTTAAGTTATATTCAAACATGGCAAGACTGTTAAGAATTTATTCATTTTCTCCCAATCTTTAAAAGAAAAAAATATATATTTCAGATTGACACATATGTGGAGTGAATTTATGAAAATGAATTCGGTTTCGTACAGCAAAGGTGCTGCACCCTTACAAACCATTTCACTTTTCAACACACATCCACAGCTACATGTACTGTAACTCTGAGCACAGTGGTGGAAGGAGAGGCTTGGGTGACGGCTGGTATACTTGCTGCAACGAGCTCAACTCCATTTAGAGGGTTATGATCAACACAGCACTGCAGATCAAGTCTTTCAGTTATATGCAATATACAAGAAGCATTTATTTAGAAATCCAATGATAATTTTGACAATTATCAAGTTAAAGAAATGGCTCAGAAATCATCAAATTACATATTTTCTTAAAATTCTGCAGTATAGTGCACCCTTACACTTTGTACATTACATCTATTTCTATGCTTCGCTGGCATCACATCCACTCACCATTCATCGGAGATAAACCACAACTAGTACAACTACGGATTTAATATCAACCTATTAGAGAAAATGTGGGACTGATGTTACATGAACTCAGTACGATAATTTGTCTTTCCTTATAAGTATGCCCTTCACAAACTCAATGGGAAATACGTTACAGGGATGCGCACCGTAACAAGAAACGTTTAATCAGATTAAATGCTACTTGTCAAAACAAACTGAACATTTGAACATTTGAAGACGAGCGGTTAGTTGGCTTGCTCCAGCTGTCGGTTTGGTTTTTTGAGATGGCCGGGAAAGAGAAGAAAGAAATATGCAACAGTGCAGCAATAGCTGCATTTAAATCCATGCTGTCACAGTACATGAGCAATCTGTAATAGTCATACTTGATTCAAAAGCTTCACAGCCAAGTCACATTTATGTTGGTGTGTGGAATTTTTACACTTCTAAGAAAATATTGTATGAAATAATGCAGCATATGACTATAAATTGTTTTAGCTATATGTGTTTAAGGCACAGTGTGATTGCATTAGAATAATCTTACATTCTGAACTTAAATGTAAAAACGGTTTTGTTCAAATGGTCAGTTGCCATTGCTTCTGAAGAAAAGCATGCCCCTCTTACTGTCTCTGATCTTGAGTACACCATTATTGTTCTGGCAGGGCTTGTTTTTTTTTATTGTGAGATTTGTGTCTCTCCCTCTCTCGATTGAAGGAGGAAACACAAACAGGGCCCTTTCAGGTCACATCTTTTTCAAATCAGGAGGAGACACTGCCACAGTGGATCACCCTGGTCTGCCGCATTTATAAATAAACTTGCCGTGAGACAAGAAACAGATTTAGTGCTGCGGTGTAAAGTCACACATAATCACAAATGGGGTAGTCCATCGAGGCCTGTTTGTTGGCACTATAAATTACAGGATAAAGCGGGCCAGTCTGTTATAGCAGTTATATTGACACTTCAGGCCAAGATACAGAGAAGGACATGCCCTTGATGTGCTGAAGAGCCATAAGGAAAATGGGCTGATAAAAAGTGGATGGATATCAGGCTTGGAGAGAGGTTAATGCGAGATGAGAGACTCTGCAGGGCAGCATACGAGCTGCACAGTGTGCTGCTAACTGAAGGAGGGACAACATTTTATTCAGAGTGGATCATTTTGAATCGGGGGAATATTAACAATTGTCTGAATACTGGCAGGAAATCTCAAAGAATGGTATCATGCATACAGCCAGTCTAATACAGAGCACTCAATAGCTTTGAAAGCCTCTTATAAACATCAATTCACTGTATTCACAACACAACATTTTATTTCACCTTGCGCCAAAGATTTTCTTTTTCTCTTGGTGTGAAATATCATTCTCATGTTTAGTGTATAGTACCATAAATGGGAGGATGAAGAGGGATTTTGTCACTTTGGCAGTCATAAGCCTGGATAAGCCCTCATAAATATTACTGTGTCTCACACATACTATTTCCAGTTGTTGAGAATATACTAGGAAAGTTTCGCACATCCCGAATCCAAATCCCCCTCCCTGGGTTTTGTAAATACTGCTCTAAACTCAACAGCATGGAATTTCTCTTCAAATCAATCTAACACGATGGACCTTACCCTGACATACAGTATGAACAAGCACACTGGACACTGATAAATGTCAGTTTATGTTCAAACTGTAATTCATAAATTATTACTCAAGCCCTTTACTTTGCTGGAGAGTTGTATGAGGGATTTTGAAACAAAAACCTTGAAGACGAAAAAAGAGGAAAAAGGTATTGCCACACTGGTTGGCTGAAGTCCTTGAGGCAAGCATGAATACACTCTGAGTCAATAAGTTATGCACACACACACACACACACACACACACACACAAACACACATGCACAGTGAGAGAGAGAGAGACGGAGCATTGCCGCACATGGAAACAGAAGACTAAAGAAGCTCCAGGGACAGAAACACAGTCTGAGACTAACAACTGGAAGACATACATATGTTGCCAGATGTGAGATTCCGCTATGAAAGAAATAGAGACATATCAAGGAGGTCTTGAGTCAGTGGTATATCCACTGTGTTTGCTCGCCTGGTTTAAGCTATAGTAAAGGCTCTTCCTTTGGTGAATGCTTACAGTCATATGCTGTCTTCACACTGCCTGACACATCTCTTCAAGCTTACATAATGTAGATCTGCCCTAATTTCCCTCTCCCTAGCTGAATTGGGGTCTTCAAGCAGCTAAGCAACATAACACCATCAATCTGACAAACACCGAGTCAAAAGGTGATCCAGCCTGGTTTGTTGTCTTATTAATATGGTCATTTTTTCTGACAGATCCTGTCAGTCACACCAAAATGCAACGCAGGGCAATGTATTTCATGCCAGCTTTAGTCTTTCAATGTGTAGGATTCAAAGACATGCAAGAAAGAGTAATAGCATAAATATCAGGGCTGAGTTACAAATTAGTTGACAGTTGTCAGTGTAGTACATCAAATTGTTTTTCTGTGTCAGGTAATTGGATGTTTCCATGGATACTGTTATGTCTGCAAAGGATATTTCTCTGCAAGTGTCTGCGTGCACACAGATGTGTTCATGATGCACAGTTACAGTAAGGTCACTTATTTACTTTATTCACAATTGACACAACAAATACATCCTCTGTTGCCATGAGATGCTCAAGAACAAACATTTTTAATTCAGTAGTGTAGAAGAAACTCATATTTGGTAAAAGTCAATGTTGTAATACAGCCCTAGGCCTGTTCTGCTACTATTTGTGCAGCTGTTGTGACGCTTTAGGCATCAGATAATCATTTCATTTATACATGAGAGAATTGATCATTTGAGTTGTTAGTCAAAATGTCTTTGGGTGGTACTGAGGCGCCACACAGTACTAACTATGCCATCTCAATGTTTATTATGCAACACAGCCCTTTTCTTTATTTCCCATTTGTCTAGTTGAAACTATGACAATGGCTTGATCTGAACATTTGAATTGGATATTGTAATTTTAGTAATGTTTTAAAAAATACCAATGGGATTTTGTGCAGCATTTTCAAAAACGGTCCTCCCTGTGCACTATGACATTTACTTCACACACCATGGTTGAGAAGGTGAAGGGAACACAGAAACAAGGGTATACCAAATGAATGCAAATCTTTTATTCATCAGCTAACAACTAAAGACACAGCACATTGTAGATATATTTACCCCACGTATTCCTAGTTGTACTGTGTGTCTGCAATAAGAGACCAGGTTTTTGCTTTTCAGAGTCAATGCAAGTTTGCATGGAAATGCTGATGAAGTGTTCTATTTACAAATCAGAGGTTGACATAAAAAAAACACAATTTCATGAAAACAAAACAAAGAGAAGCAAACATAACATTTCTGAATAAGAATAAGACACTAAATGGATCTCTTCTTCTTTGCAAATATAACGTTTGCATACGTACACAGGACAGTCACATTTCAATTTAACATATTTTTGCGTTATCAGTATTTGTAGTTTCACATGTGACAAATATCGGCATTTGGTCATCGATTACAAAAAGCAGAAAGAGCAAAACATATTACAAATGTCTGTTATATACAGTGTTCCGTTACACATTTGTTTTTGCAAGATTCTCACAAATTGAAAGAAACATCATGACAAATAAAATGTTTAAAGTTTTTTGTGGATTTTCCTCCAAATACTCTGCCAAACGATAACATTTCTGTCAAAATCTACTACACATTCAAAAAATAACTATTATTTTGAGAACTGAAACAACGAACTGAATGGCGGCCACTGCTCACAATACAAACATGTGTTGATCTGTCTGTGCAGGTTTACAGTGTTTTCACCACAAAACGTCACAGCAATATATTAATAAAAACAAATCCTACATGTGACAAAGTACAACCCTGTGCAGGTTTACATCATGCAGCACTGTGTAGATTCCATGTCATTGGTTCTGATGCATTTCCAAAGAGCAGACACAGGTCAAGTGACAAAATAATCACAAAAAGATTCTGAAGAAGTGAAAGGCAACCAACCAAGACTGTATACTTGATAAACAGCATGACTAATGCTGCAGTGTAATGCATGGTGACATGCCGACAGGGTCCAGATACACCATGTCCTCTAATTAGCTGAGTTAAGATGACAGGTCCAGTGCATAATACTGCTTATGATGTGCATTTACTCTGTGTAATAAACTCTCAGGGAAAGCCAGATTTCTGGGCTTATACTATTGACCCAGAAATTAGTTCGACTGCATAATGACTGGATGATGTGCTTAGATTCCTTTGTGCTTTTCTATCTATAAAGCTCCTGCAAACCTTTACGCATTTGTTACACACATTTGTTGCACTTTCCATCAATCCTCTCCTTAAAAAGAGAGTAAAGGAGACTGCTTTGGCAGTCAAATCGCCAGATTGTATGCGACCCTTCACCAAACAGATGAAAACAAACAATGCCAAATCATGAGTGGGTGTTTTTCTTTGTGAAGTAATACACAAAAGTCCTATCAGTATTCCCCTAAAATACATGTAATTAAAGATAAATAAAGTTTTAGAAAAAATGAATTATCCGAAAAGTGGTACAAGAGTATCTTTTGAATATGCATGAGTTTTAAATTTTAAATAAACATTTATGGGATGTGATAATATTATTAAATATCACATTTATGAGTGTTGGCTGGTGGCTGAGAGGATGAGCTGGTGGCATTTTATACAGATTGCCTACGTATTCTCTACATCTATGCATAGCGCAAGACTTTTTAACATGTGGTACTTTTATGTATACAGTTATCAATCCTACTTCTATGGCTATTTTGCACGTGTTACCATATTGTGCATTTCAGAAAGTGACATCATTGGTGACCTGTAGAAGCCAATAGTGCATTTTTAAGAAAAGAAAAAAAGAATGAAAAGAAATATTTGTTTGTATAAAAATATGCAGTCATTTAAAATATGTTTTGTACGGGCCCGAGGCCGACAGATGTGACTGAAATTCATCTGAATGTCAAACAGAAGTTTGTGGAGATATATTAGACTCTAACTGTATTGCAAATCTACTCAAATGCATTGCAACTGGAAGATACTTTTTATGTACGCAGACACATAATAAAGAAAAAAGGTTGTAAGGGTACAATAAAACACAGGAATGTGCTTTGACGTACTCCTGAGTGTCAAACTTTGGATATATTACGAGCTGCTTTTTGTGTGAAGGGCTTTAATTCTGGTACAAATAAATTTAGAAACTCAATCAATTTTTACCAAGTGTGTTTCCAAGCTGTATGTATATGTAAATGCATATTTGTGAAATATGATAAAGACCTTTAGAGCTTTCAGTTACAATTCATCTGAATACTGCTGTGACTATAATCTTTTAGTTACAATGTTTCTGAGTGAAGTTACAATACATTGATATTTAACTCAATACAATTGCAACATGTCACACATAATAAACATAATAGAGCTGGGGAGGCTCTGAGGGAATACCACCGATTAGATCTGTTCAGTATATTTTTAGGATATATTAATATACTCCCCCCAAATCTGCAAACAAGAAAGCACAGATTCACTGGCCTCATAATCTGTAATTTGAGATATTACATTGGAATTTGGTTTATGATCTCATGCATTTAATATTATTATCCCAGAGCCGTGCATACTGGAGGAAAAACTGCCTCCGTACCGTGTCTAACTCCATTTTTCACAGGAGCACAATTTCCTAACTCTTGTGACTATTGTCAACACCTGAACGCAGGTCAAATGAACACATGAATCTACTTACAGCATGAATTTGATTTCATCTCATGTGTGAGTTTAGTCTTGAATAACTTTGACAGAACTGGGAGCTATGCATATAATTGAGACAAAAACCTGGTTTATTTGGGGACAACAACATATCATCTGCACACATTAACACTCATGAAATGTAGCTAATTTGAGAGTGTAAACTCAGTCTCACATATTTGTCGATGAAACAGCTCCAGGATGTATTTTATGTAGGGATGAGTCATGAGAGCCCCAAATTACTGGTTGCTTGGTCATATTAACAAATTTAAACCAAACTGTTAGACACCATGGGGTAAAGGGATAAGTGCTACTTTAAAACGAGTAGCGCTCCCTTTTATTAGTCAATCCTGTGACACATGATTCCCAGAAATGCATACTGTAGCTCACAATCCATTGTACTAATAAAGGTGATAAAATAGTGCTGCCTGTTTTTCTAAACATGGTCTGATTCCTGATAAAAACGAATACATCGCATCAATGCATCCGCTTTGACCGTCCACGGGTCAAGTCTCTTAAAACTGTGTAAATGTTGTTCGTTTTTCAAGAACCTCAAGGTAATCGGGATCAATATGAAGCTTTGCTTTTAGTTCCCAGTACTCACTCCTGTTGGGCTCCACATATACAGTACTTGGTGATGCACAATAAAGGATTGTCTGTTGTATTCTATCTGGGTGCATGTATTGATGCCTGGCATCGAAGTCTGAGGCATACTGACTTGATGAATGCGCCGCATGCCTGCATGGTAACGTATTGCTGTAGCATGTGTGCTTGTCGGGCTCGAGTACCTCTCTATAGTAACACTGGTCATCTTGCTGAGGGGTGGAGGGCTTGTTAAGAGGCTCTGGAGTGGTGACACTGTATTCCGAGCTTATAACATTACTGGCTGCCTCTTCATCCGAGTTACCCAGAAAAGCGCCGCTCAACTCGTCAAAGTCTCTAAATCCATCCACTGATTTGCTGTCCGTCGGGGTTTGGGCAGTGGTTCTGCATGCTGTGTCTGTGGGAGGTGGGATGTACTCGTATACATGTCCAGCAGATGTTCTGACTTTAGGATTGGAACCCTTTTTGTAAAGGCCATATTCCACATTGAGAGAGCTAATGCAAGCATTCATGGAGTTATTATGCTCGTTTTGATACTTTTGATGTCGCTTTTTCATTACCACGAACAATCCTGCAGCCACAAACACAGACACAATGAAGATGAGGAGAAGGGCAAGAATCATCACAGATAGAGGAATGGCGCTGTATTGTGCGTCAGAGTCCAAGGATGTTTCTATGGTGATAGTGCTGCCAGGGAAAGACTCTTCAGAGGGTGGGATCATGGAGGCAAGGATATCAGAGTTATTAGGGCAAAAATTAGTTGTCTTAATGTATCTCATATCCTCCCCAGCAAGCTTTTTGGGTGAACCACAAATGACATTATTTACAACTGTGCCTGTGCTAAGCTGCTCCAGCCACATCTTTAACTCCAGTATGCTACAAGAGCAATCCCAGGGATTCTCAAACAAATCGACTTGCACCAGCGCTGTAAGCTGATCTAGCACGCCGCTGACCGGAAGATATCGCAAATGGTTGTTGCGAAGATTTAGCCTGGCCAATGTCAGGCTATTAAATGTTCCCACGGGTAAAGTTTTCAAGAGGTTATTGTTCAGAAAAAGAAGCTGAAGTTTGGGTACGTGCTGAAAGGTGTCAGAACCGACCTCTTTAATGATGTTGTATTCTAAATATAAGAACTGTAGAGTCTCCAGTCCATAAAACATGTCAGCTGTTAGATGGTCAATCAAATTCCCATTAAGGTATAGTCTCCTTAGATGTATCAAATCGCCAAAAGCTCGGTCATGTATGCGAGATACTCGATTGTTACCGAGATGAAGCAAATCCAACGCAGTCGCTTCGATAAAATCGGATCGACGCACCACTGGGATATAATTCCCTGTTAGATACATCTTTTTGGGATTGTAAGGTTTGGGATTTAAGTCAGAGATATGTTCAATCTTTCGCTCCTGGCAGTTCACATTCAGGCCGAGGTCTGAAATTTGAAGGTTGCAGGTGCAGGCAGTTGGGCAATCTAAAGGCACGGGGGACTTGGTCTGATATGAAATAATTTGCCCATAATTTTGTGGTTTATTTGATGGGGTGCGAGGAGTGGGCCTTGATTTCAATTTGCCTGACTGGCGAGGTCCCTTAGTGGGTCTTGATGAGGACTGAGCAATCCCAGATGAGGTGAAGGAGGCTGTGACAAGAGCTGGTATGGTCCTATGGTATGCATCGGTGCTCAAATGTGGCAGGGGTGGCATCTCATATTCAGCAATGGCTCTCCTTGGGCACAACTCCTGTTTTGAAACCTCATCAAGATCTCTCCCATGAAGTCGGAAAGGGAACTCACATACAACATCGCCGACTAAAGCCGCGTATGATATGCTCTCGAGCCAGGTTTTAAGCGCAATCAGCTCACACGAACAGTTCCAAGGGTTCTCCTCCAGCTGTAACTCCACCACACTGTTCATGTGCTCCAGCAGACCTGAGTAGGGAAGCACTTTGAGCTGATTCCCCCTTAAATCCAGATGAGTCAATGGTACATACTGGAAAATGCTCACCGGCAGACTAGATATTAAGTTGTCATTGAGAATCAGGACCTCCAGATTTCGAAGTCTGCTCAAGGCATTAGGGGCCACATGAGTTATATAATTATAATCAAATTGTAGATATTCCAGACTTTCAAGGCCAAAGAATAACTCTTCCTTCAAGACATCAATTTTGTTATTGTTGAGATGCAATCGTTTTAATCCCTGAAGTCCATTAAAAGCTCCTGCTTCAACCTCAGATATGTCATTATTTCCCAGGTGTAATATTGTAAGTCCTTTGTACTCAAGAAAATCATTGGCAGATAGCTTTTTCAAAAGATTCCCTGTAAGCAGCAGATGATACTGGGAGAAGTACACTGGACTTATGTCTGAGAGACTTACAACTCCTCTGTTTTCACAGCTCACTGTGAGTATCCCTTCTCTCTCCTCACAGGCACACATTCTTTGGCATATTTCTCCATAACTGCCCAACATCTCAACAGTACACACTGTTATTGCACTTAGCAAAACATATGAAATCCAAAGATGCATTTTCCTGCAAAAATGTTGGCCGAGCTCACAGTCCCGCTAAGGTATCTTCAATGTCATCTAGAAATAAAAGACATATACATGGTGATGTAAATCAGGCAGACTGCAATGAAAGCAACTTCCACACAACAAGCTGTAGCCTGCATGAGTCAAAGGTTCATTTGCTGTTACCCAGGGGTAACTTCTATCTTTGTGGCTGCTGATTTTAACATGGCTCAAACAAAGCAGGATAGAAAGCAACTCCTTCAAGCTATGTAAATAACAAAGAAGCAAGGTCAAAGCAAGAGATGAGCGCAAAACAATGGTCTAAATCCGCTGTGAGGGGAAGCCGCATCGCATTTGCTTATTATCAACATGCAATTAAATGCTGGTTTGAATTTAAAGACATGTAAATTAAAGGTTAGCTGAGATTCTGCATCATAGTGCACGCCTTGTTAGACACAATAAAACCAGCATAATTTCTGTTTTAAATCGTGATGGAAATACATACCTCACGCACGCTGATGAAGATGTAGGCTCGTTTGGGTATTTCAGCGCGTCTTTTATTTTTAATCCGTCAAAACGAAAGAGGAAACGGGATCTAATCAGTGCGAGTGCGTTCGTCGCCTCAAATGCACCGGGGAGGATGAAAGAAACGCTGATCGACCATAACTGCCAAATGCTTCTCTCTTACCACGCGGTGCCGGAGGAGACACAGCTATGCTCGGTAACAAAGTTGCTTATTCGCCCTCTTTCACTCTCTCTCCCTCTCGCTCTCTCTCTCTCTCTCTCTCTCTCTCTCTCTCTCTCTCTCTCTCTCTCTCTCCGCGAACGCTCACGCACGCAAGTACGCGCGCTGACTCTGTGGTCGGGAGGATGTCAAGTCATTTCAAGCACAAAGAATCAGCTCAGTGGAGCATCGAGATATATCCCCCCAAAAGATGTTGACCTACCTACAGAAAAGATGTCCCAAAAAATATCAATAATTTACCGGGGCACGCGCGGTTTAAACGGTTATTCATCCTGGAAACCAAACTGTCACCAGATTGTCAAATTGCATCAGTTGTTCATAATCTGTCAATCATGTAATGTTAGGACGCCTGGTGGTGAAAAACAAAGAAGATATTGTTCTTTATTTAACGGAATTGATTAGGCCCCCATATTTCCACTGGCAGATCAGTTTATTTACATCCCAGCTGCTATTTTTGGAAATCTCACCTCAGTCACAGTGCTTAAGGTGCCCTGCAGGTGCCCATATCACTTCTGCCAGTCAGAGGGCAGGTGCTGTCACACGGATCCCATTTTAGCTCTTATTGTCTGTGCAGAACAGCCTTAATAATAATGTCATCACTGCCTAATGCATAAACACATGAAGGCTTTGTCACGGTAAGATGTGTATTGATAACCTCCCGCCACCCCTTCCCCTGCTATCAGAAAGCTTGCAAATTAGAAGTAATACTCTTCTGCATATAGGAATTTTTGCGTCTGTTTAGTGATAGAGCACAAGGTAAAGAAAAGACCTGTCATGTCCGTCTCAACCTGATGTGGTAGAAACATGTCAGGAATTGTTTTGTATATTGCTGTGTCCTCGTGGAGCTATATCCATCATCATCCTCCCCACTTGGCTCTTGCTCACATGGGAGGAGAGCAGGCACATCAGGGACACTGCCTGTGGCTCATACTAAAGAGTATGAAGGCTGTATTCAGCCTGCATGCAATTAATTTGTGCCTGTTGTTTTTCGTTGGCCCTTAGAAGTTTACGCTGCGCATTGGGCTAGACCATCAGCATTAGCTGAACCCCCAGCATTACTCCACTATTTCTGTATAAATTAGCATTTATGTTTGTTGCAATATGATAAGCAAATTGTGCAGCTGGAGCAAAATAGCTGTCATCACAAATATTTGAATTGGAGAAGTCACTTTTTTATTCTTTTATTTTAATGAAATATTCTTTCAATTGTGGATTTTGTGTCTTTGCATTTTGAGGACCTTCACATTTTGTATCTCTCTGCAGTTTGATAATCGCTGTTGTTCATCCATGGTTACAGTGTTCAGCAGGAACGTGAGGCACACTCAGGCGATGCATGATATGAGCCTCATCTCTCCAAGTCTTCCACAACACTGAACATAATCTTCACCAACTGGGAGCAGAAGACAGCTATACTCTTCAGACACACGCTTAGCCACACACACACATGCACAGGCGCACAAAAAGAAATCAGCATCACAAATGACTGGAAGAAAATGATGATGACTAACAATTATGTGCTCCAAGGTCAGAATTAAACAAATGGAGTTGGAACTGTGGCACAGGGGATGATGGGTAGCGCCTGTGATGTATGTTCCTTACAGATGGTGCGTCGCACTTTGTCATCTGTGTCCAGCTGGAGTATAGAAAAACACGCGGCATCCCAGTGAACTTGTCTGCTTTTGTCTCCCAGCAACATTACTGTCAGGGCTCTCAGAAGCCTTTGATGCATCAGAAGTGATTATTGAGTATTGTGTCAACACATTATGCAAGGATTTTATTTCCTGGTATTGTCATAGTATTATCTGAGTTTTAGTCTCCACAGAGGACACTCTAAAGCTTTTGGTCCTGTGAATATTTGCACAAGTGGTCTAAATTAAATTTATGCAATTTGTAAAATACTATTTTAATCACCATTAATTGCACTTGCATTTAAAAATGTAGGATAGAAGTCCCTGGTATTGAAACAACCTGTGACCACGAAGAGAGTGAGGAGATGGCCAGATGAGGCTACGAGAGGCCGCTTCAAAGGAAGTGACTTGGAAGAGCTGGTTGCAAGGCGAGGACATTGCAGAGTCCCTGACACACTCTTTGCGTAATCTTTGAAAACAGTGTGTCCATTGGGAGGTGCAGTGTTTTTCCAACAAGTTATGGGTCCCCCCCTGAACTAAAGCCTCTACAGAATGACAGAGCTCTTTTATGTCAGGGACAAAGAAGAACAGAGGTGGGTACAGAAAAAGCAGAGGAGGAAGATCAGGGAGGGCAGAAACTGTTACAGGAGGAAGACTGAGGACAGACTGCAGCAGAATAATGTGAGCGAGTTTATAGGAGCATGAAAAATATCTTTGGTTACAATAAGTCTAACAGCAGGAAGTCTGAGAACATGATCCCGGAGTATCCCTGGTCTCCCTCGAGGAGGTGGGGGAGAAAAAGATGATGGCCACATTATCAGCCATCATGGATGACACTTCCCACCCCCTCTGGCAAGCAGCTCTATAAATAAAGGCACACTACAACATGTTTCTCATCTCTGCTTCCACGAGGCTCTGCAATCTCCACTATCCTCAACAGACCTTAAAAAACGCTATTAACCTGAAAGTATTTTCATCATATCGCACTATCTGGTCGAACATAAATTCAGCTTTTACTTTTACACCTTGTTCTCATTCAAATGCACATTTTCATTCAAATTCTACTAGTTTCATGTTGTTTATCGAAAGTAGTATTTTATCCATAAACACTTTTTCCTATTGAATTCAGTGCCCTCTATTTATTTTTCACACACTTTGTGAAGAGCGCACATTTGACCTTTCGAGGACTTCCCAGTGTTTTTTTTGTAATTGCCATTTCCCCACTACAGCTCCTACACACTCAGCTAAGGGGAATGATCTCTCTTTGAATTCGTGCTCCTGCGGTCTATTATTTTTACCAAATCACAAATTTTGTGTACGGGTGTTTCCTTGCCCTCTAAGAGAGCTGAGTCAGAAAGTGTTGCTGTTAGCCTAAAGCCCGTTGAGAGATTATTAATGTAGTATAAGTAGATGCAGATAAACTTCACGACAAAGGACAAGTGCAACTAGATTACATTTCTTGTTCACCTTAATATAATAAAATAATTCAGTTGTATTTGTGTATTAGTTGTATTTGTATATTAGCATATATGTTTTATAACCTATAATATTTCTCAGCTTTTTAGTATACTGCCCTGCTGCTGTGGCACTTAAACGTTCCCTTGTGGGTACTATAACGTTTTTCTTATTTCATAGTAGCCATAATTTTGCCGACTCAAGATCATAACATTTTTATATCAAGGGCCCATCAATAGATACTCATCTGACTGTGGATGCCCGATGGACGCCCTAAGACATTTTATGTTTTACTGCCTGTTCAGGATGTGAGTGGAAATGCTTAAGTCTTTCATTATTTACAGTTAATAACCTGTAGCTCTCCAACATTTGGACTAAGACCTCTTGGAAATGTTTTAAGGACAGCTGGTGGTCCATGAACCTGAGCGTGGGCATAACTGCTCAGAAAAAGAAACTGAATCAGAGTCTTTGTTTTTATGCAAAATACTGTGGCACCACCTGTTGGTCAAATTTAAGAAATACAAAATCAGAAAAGGACATAAGAGACAAGGTGAGGATTGTAGCTGAGAAAAAGCAACATGTTTATCACAGGTCAGGTCAAAAGAAATTGCACTGGTAGGATTAGAAATTGACAAAAGAAAAACCGGATGTCTTTTAACTGGCTTAACCTTGTGAACAGTTGAGGTGTGGCCTGAAGAATAGGAGAGCTGTCTGTTGAAGAGGTGATTAGTGGTCAACAAGAACCAGGAAACAATTATTACCAACAGTCGTGGTGAAAGTGGAAAAGCTATTTGGTATTCTCGGGTTTGACTGTTTACAGTAAGAAGTAACTAGAGTGAAATTGCTTGCAGTTTCTTCCATTTAGAGAGTGCTTCACTCCAACTCCAACAGAACATTTTCGTGAAACATGGAATGTATTTGAACAAAAAACATATCAAATGACTGATCTGTTGTTGTTTCTTTGCATCTTTCTCATTAATATTATTTTCTTTTTTTTACAGTTTCACTAACTGTTGTTGTTAGAATTATATGATTGGGCAATTTTCTTTAATTTAACCGGAAACAAATTAAGCAATCTAAAGCATTATATGTAATTTTAGCTCAAACCTCAAGGTGTCACTGCTGATTTAGGAAAGACATTTGTCTAGTTAACCTCCAGTACTCCGTCCTTTGTTATTCCTTGCTATGAGTAGGATGTGGCAAAATGTAATGATTCGCAGGTGGACTTAATTCTAATCTAATTTGATCCGAGTATATGTCAAACAAAAGCTCACAGATTCACTAATTCAGTGAGGATGGACCAGCGCCAAACACTGTCACCTAATTAAAGGCCTTGTGCAAATCTCGACACTCTGATTTACAGCTCAGCGTGACAATTTTTCGTTTGAAGTTAATGGCCTGATTGTTCAACTGTAGCGCATTGTAGTTTCATTTTAGAGTGTCATACACTAGTTGCACAGCTCGGGGCAAATACTCTCTCTTAATTTGATAATAAATTCTGTGTATTTCATTTCTTTCAGTCACACATATGTTGAAGCAAAAGAGCAGTTAAAAGTTGATTTGGTTGTGGAGAAAAACACATAACACGGATTAATTAAAGTTGAAGTGTTTTCGGAAGGATAAAATAATGTTGCCTCACATGGATGAAAAATAATATCCAAAACACTGTAAGCCACCCCTTGAAAATACACATTCTACACGTTCTGGTTGTGGGAACCAGAGGGCTATCTTCACAGTTCCTGCTTATGTCTGATGGGACCAAGAGAAAGTCTTGACATGTTCACTATAGGTCAATAGCTGTGTGGTGTCTGTCCACAGATACCAGGGGGACTTCCCACCCTCTTAATTAAAAACTACATCCACCTTATCTCAGTTCCTTATGCTGACACGACTCTCCTGCAAAACTAAAGACATCTTTTCTTTGGCTG